TTTCATATGTGGCAGAATATTAATCACCATCTTGTGAAGCTATGTCTTAAACAAACAAACAAGCAAAACTGATTATCAGAAGAAGATATTAACATTGGTACTGAGTGCTTTAAGATAAGCTGATCTTTTAAATCTCATGATTTGATTGAATGTACAAAAAATAAGTATAATTTTATAAAAGTGATGCTTCTAGTGATATTAACTACCAATTGCTTTGAAATATTTTCTAGTTAAAAAGGATCATAGAAGCATTAGGCAATTATGTTGAAATCCAAACTGAAGTGATGTTCTACAAGAATGCCTCCTCTCAATTGCTGAAGAAAATTTTGTGTCTGGGTATATTTAAGAATCACTACATTCAAGTTTTAGGAAACCAAGTTACAAACACGTATTTTTCATTCTTCAACAAAGACCTCTTCCCAGATGTTCTGATTTGTCTCAGTGTGAATGTCAGAATCATCTAAACTCATTTCTCCTCCATGACAACAATCCATGACAAATCACATAATCTTGTCTATTCTTCCTTAATAATACATTTCAAAATATCTGTTTTGATAGATGGTTACTTAAAAATGTGCATAACATTTTAAACTTCATTAGCCCTTATTTTCTAACAGGGTCAAAAAAAGAGAAATTGGGGGGCAGGCTGGTAAGCATTATGCTCTGTACAATTCTGTCTTTTTGTGTTTATATGATTCTGTTCCCAGTGCATATACCATCTTTTCCATTTCACATCTGGACCATGTGCAATTACAGATGCTCTACAAATTACCATATGGTTACATCCTGCTCAGCCTACAGTAAGTTGAAAATATCACAAGTCAAAATGTATTTAACGAATTAAACCCATCCAACCCACTGACTACCATAGCTCAGCCACCCTGTATGCTGTAGAGTCTCTGTCATTTCCCCTCATGACTGGGTGGCTAACCGGGAGCTGCAACTTGCCACCACTGCCCAATAAGAGCATTGTGCTGTATGTTGCTAACTTGGGAAAAGGTCAAAACTCACAGTACGGTTGCACCTGAATCGGAATTGCTTTGACAACTTTATAAAGCTACATAATCAAGTTGAGCTATTGTGAATTGGGGATCACCTTACATCTTAATTCTCTTCTGCTCACCCAGATTGGCTACCTTTCATCACACCCTGTGCTTTCACTTGAGTCATCTTCCAAAAAGCCTAAATCATTCCAAGCCCATGCTTGACATCATCCCTAGCTTCCCATTGCTGACATGAAAAAGTCCAAATTTATCATGAGTACCAGAGTAAGAACTCTTCTATTTTGGCCATGATCATTCCTTTCATTATCACCTACCACTCTGCGCATGAATCCCCAAATCCAATCAAAGTAGGCTACTAAAACTTCCCTGTGTGAGATATCGCATCTCCATTTAGAATGTCCTCCTGCGCTTTTCTCAGCTATTTGTCCTCCATCTGTCCTCCATGGCCTGACTCAGATTGCTGGTCTTTCTTGCCCTTCTCCACTAACGTATCATCAATGCATCTTCCTTTTGTGTATCTCTTGCCCTGTCCACAGTAGGATCTCCTTAACAGTTAATATTAACACCATTCACTGTTTGAAAACCTTTTTATCATGCAATATTCAATGCAATATTTTGAGTATTATAGCTTATATTTGGTCTATTTACAAAATGACAATGAGAAGACTTACAATAGAGACCTCATAAAACACTGTGCCAGTTAAAAAAGGAGGTGAGAATCCAAAACCATATGTGGGGGAGTGTAAATAACATGGGATAATAAAATTTAAAATCTAGTTGCATGTTTCCTGGGAGTCAAGTCAAAAACTAAAGGACCCATTAGTTATGTGGAAGTAGCTTAACCATTGTAGTTGTGTGTGTTTTCAAGATTTTTTATCTATATGCCTCTTGTCTCGCTGTTACCTTTGCAATTGCTAGGATTTATTTTAGGAATTGCTTAGCAAAGCCTCTAGCCCGGCATATGATAGCAGCTTAATAAATTGATGGAAGATGAATGACATACCAGAATCATAAATTTGAAACCATTTTCTTTATGTAGAAAATTCAATGAGTACATAAATTTATGAATGAAAATGTGAACAAAATAAGAAAACTAAGAAATAGCAGATTGAGAATGAAGGCTCTGAGGATGTAACCACTTCAAGTGGAGGTAATTTAAGGAAGCACACGCAGTCACAATTGTAAATGTTTATAAGCTGTGTCATAATGTAGAGAAGTAAACTTTTATAAGAAATTAATTTTGTTGGAAAAAAATTGTACATTTGATTTAAATCATTATCAGTAAAATAGTTTATAGTGCTCTACCTTCTTGAAGTATAAATTCATAGCTTACATGGCTACAGAGATTGGGTGTTTTTTTTTTTTCTCCCTAAATAGCTGCTTTATGGGACTGAGAGGGTATGTACAGAATCTTATGTTGTTCTTTATGCTTGACACCAGAGTTTCATTTCTTTGTCTATCTTTATTTAAAAAAACAAAACAAAAACAATAAAGTTGGTACAGAGATGTGTTTAAAAGGCAAGGAACACTCTAGTCAGGCACTGTCCAACAGATTTCTGGGATAATGGAAATGTTCCACGTCTGTGCTGTCCACTGGCACAGAAACGTTCTCCCCCAGTGCCCCTAGCCTCACTTGCTGAGCACTCGAAATGCAGTTAGTATGATCAATGGGCTGAATTTTAAATTTTACTTAATGTTAACTGCATTGGCTACAAGTGACTCATGGCTTCAGTGTTGGACAAGACTGCCTGCTTCTAAAACAGACCTTTTCTTACTTGGTTGGGATCTTAATAGTGGACTCATTCAATACTCTAATATTGTGTGAGGTCATAAACTGCAGTGCATTCACAGTAAAGCTACGGGTGCCTTTATTGTTTTAAAAAGTCTATGTTGGGGGAAGTAAAATTTAGGGAGAACTTTTTTTTAAATTGTTGTCCAGGGTGGAGATACATCGTAGCATTTACAAAAGTCCTTACAATGTGAATTCACCACCTCCTCATGGTAACAGGGAGAGGATCATCTCTGTTCCTATCATTACATTTGTGCTTGGACTCAAAGACAAAACTTTATAAGCAGAAGTCTCTATAAGGTGTGTGTGGAGGAGGTAGGGAGAGCTAGCACTGTTTGGGCGGAATTTGCATTTGTACCCTAAGTCTCTTTCTGCAGAGCATTTTCTGAAGGCCTCCTAGGTGGGGCCTCTGAGTAAGGGGTCCCGCCAAATTCTTCTCAAGGTGTCTTTTCCTTCTCTGTCTGACTTTCTTGTTTTGCTCATAGTTCTATGAGCAAGTGGGTGGAGTTTAGCTTCCTTAAACCAGCAGGGGCTTGCTCTAGCTCTTTCTTTTAATTTCTTTAATTTGAGGATCCCCACACTTGGTCTTTGAAATGCTATTTTGTAAACTGCTATTTCCTTCTTAGTTCCTTATGCTCTTTTTCCATCTGTGTTGGAGACTTTTCCCAGTGGGGACTTTCTTTCTCTACTTAGTCATGCTGTGTGTGGAGATCCACATCCACATCACTGGCCTTTCTGACTCATCCTGGGAAGTTCTTTTGCTCCAGGGAATCCTGCTCCCAGTGCAGTGGAACAACAAGGAGCCTCTAGTGAAGTGAGGCCATTCTGAAATCTGCCTCTTTTCCTGGCAATTTTCCTTCTAGTCCAAAGCTACACAAGAAGGAAAAAAAAAAAGCAAAAGCAAAATGCCCTTTCCCTCTTTAATACAGTGTTTCTAATAAATAGTGTCTTGTTTTGTTTTTAAAAAGCAATTCTAACTTCCAGTTTATAAGGTACTTTTGTTTTTGCTGTTGCTTTTAAATATCCAATAATCTGGCTAGTAGAAAAACTTGCAAATGCTCCAATTTTCCTTTTTCCACCACCAGCAAGCCAAGGGAGTCAATTCTGACAGCTACACTTTCCTTCCAGTTAGAGCTTAAACTGTTCTTTCTTTTGAAATATTCATAAATGTGAACAGCTCCTGATCTACAACTCCTCCCATCCGCAGATAGGAAGCAAGTGGATGGGGATTGCTCATCCACCTCATTGGCTGCTCTAGGCTGGTGCAGAACTACCCTCTTCACATTGTCACCATGGAGGCCAGGCTTTTCCTTGGTCCTCCCAGGCTGTCCAAGAAACCCTCTGCCAAGGATGGCTCAAGTCCACAATTTCCCAATCCAGATGGCTTCAAGCAATAAATTCCTCCAACTAGATTCGCTAAAAGGGTCAAAGTTGAATAACATCATGATAATAAAAAACTGACCACTGTCAGATCTAAGTTTGGCCAATAACCCAGGTAATTCTTTTTAATCCACCAAGCACATCCTGAAGATATGAAAAAGGAACTCCATCCTGTATGTCCCGTTAGTTCAGGGCAGGTTAACCTAAATAGCCACTACTGATGCAATTTTCCACACCTAACAAGAGTTATCTAGAGGAAAAATCAAAGAGGACACATTACTTTTGGTTTCATAAATGGCCTTAGCTCTGCAAAAGTATCATGTTTTTCTAGTTAAGATACATTTCATATATACAGTATGTATAATCTTTATCATTAAACATTTCCATACATCTTACTGTTTTAAACAGAATCACTTTGAATCATTTCAGCTAGAGGGACATGCCCATTCTATATTCTGACTCACACAGTTGGTAAGACTTTACACAATTAGTTTATGGCCTTAATTCCATGTGCAAAGCGGATCCATTGTGAAACTTTCAACCTGGGAACGGACCACAACCACATCCCCTTCCCAAGGAATATGTGGGCCCATCTATGGCTGAGGTCAGGTGGGTCAATTGTGAGTAGAAAACATGTAAACGCCTACTTTTGCTAAATTCCAGCTGAACTAACCATCGGGAGTGGGGAGGGAGACAGAGCAGGAGCCCTCACGCACCAAACTTAGAAAACCGCGTGTGTGTGGCGAAACTACTCCAGGATGCACAAGTGTCTGCCAGAGAGGGGCTGTGGAGCCCTGGCAGCGGCTGCGCCGGCTGCCTCAGCTTACCTTGACCACGTCGTCATTGAGATGCTTGGGGTCGCGGTTGACTAGGTCGATCTCCTTGGTGTGCGCGTCGTACACTTGCTTCTCGTTCCCCTCGTCTGCCATGGTCTTGTTGTTGGGTTTGTAGATGTTGCCCTGTTCCCGGATGGGAAGAGTGTAGAGATGTCCCTGCGGAGCGCAGACGGCCAGGAGGGGGAGGGTGGCAACCGTGGTGGGGAAGAAAAATTCAAAAGGAAAAGCAAGCGTCAGAAGTCAGCCGGGCGGGCGGGGGACACCTCGAGCTCGAAATCGAACTAACCGCTTCAATAGCAATGGCTTCGCTCACAGAAAACTCCTGAGCGCAGCCAGCTTTTTAAGAGGATCCAGGCGAGGACACCACACCCCTCGGTACCAGGCCGGGAGCGCCTGCCTCCCCCGCCCGCCGCCAGGGGTCAGGGCGAAGCCCGCCGCTCTCCCGCCCGCAGCCCCTGCCCGCGGGACCCCGGATCCGGGGAAGGGGACCCACCTCTGCCTTCTCTACAGCCCTCCTCTCTGCCGCTCCACCCTCGTTCCTAGGACTTCACCTGCTCCATTTTCCCGTTCTGGTCCCCATTATCCAGTCCCGGTGGTCCTTCCCCTTTATCTTCAAGATCCAGCTAGAACTGGATGTGTCCCCATTTTCGTCGCTCCTAGGCACGCACCCCTCGCACCTGCTCGCACCCTCCCACCGCTTTTTTGTCCCTTTGTGGGTCCCCCCACTGCCTTGGTGGTTATGATCCCGCGTACTCCTCTCTGGGTACAGCTATGTGTCAGACCCCCTAAACGACCTAGAACTGTATCTTATTTGCAGTACTCCCCCGACCCACCCTCAGGTCACTCCCAAGCTGCTGGCCCCTGGCTGTACGGCGGCTGTGTTTTGGGAACGAGGTCTCCTTGCTGCGCAGAGAGGTGTTGCTAGTGGTGGTGCTAGCTGGGAAAAGGAGGTCCCCAGACTCCGTCCCCGACACACACACCTCGGAACACCTCGGCCCTCCACCGAGAGGCCGGAAGAGTTCTTGAGATGGCCTGAGAATTTAGCAAAGTGCAAACACGCGCGCCGCCTCGCCAGTCCAGGCACCCGGTAGCGACAGGCGGAGACAGATCTCAGGACTGCGGACAAATGCCCCCCCCCACCCACAGGGGTTAGACAACGGGGATCCCCGATAAGACAGCACCCTGGACCCATCCGGAAAACATGTCTTAAGTCCGGCAGACCCTACCCCAGGGCCCGGACCCCCATTTTCCTTGGTCCCCTAGCTCAGGGGCTCTTTTGATCCTCTCCCCAATAGGAAAACATAAAACATTCCTGAGTTCTCTTCACCTCCCCGCCCAGGCCCATTCCTCGGCGGTGCCAACGCGAGAGAAAAGCAGAGGAAACAGTCGGAATATTTGAAGTGGGAGATAGCAGAAGCAGGCACTCCACGCGCGCCCGAGCCGGCGCGCTCCCACAAAGCCTACCTCTGAGTCTACGTATTTGCCCCCAGACATGCTGGCGCGTGGCGGGATGCAGGCTCTGAGGAGGTTTCCCTGGGTTGTGATTTAAGGGAACTGAGGAAGGAAGATCTTGTATTGTATGGGGGGGAAAAAAAAGCGCTGGAGGGGGGCGGTGGCTGTGAGGGAGCCTCCTGGCCGCCGGCCAGGGGTTTGTTCTGCGCGCAGTTGGCGGGGACGTGCGCTGCGCCGGGTCTAGGCACATCCCCAAGGTTCTGGCAGCAGAGGGCGGGGAGCGCCCGCAGGGAGCACAGAGTGAGAAAGCCTTCATCAGTGTTAGGCTGTTTGGGCAGATATTTTAGACCTGGGGCAACATTTTCCCAGCTATGAACCACTGAGAGGCGTCCTGGGGAGAGCGAATGTTTTCGCGGTGCATCATCTCAGCAGGGGTGGAGGGAGCCGACCAGACTGCAAAGATGCCCAGTATGGGCATCCGGAGCAGCAGGAAGAATTCTGCCCGGTCCTAAGCTCTTTCCCCTCTCGCCCATGTTTCATTGCTGCCTAAGATACATCTGAGAGAGGGATGAAAAATAGCTAGGGACTTTTAGGTGCATTTCACATCTAAACACAATTCAACGAAGGAATCCGTGTGGGTGCCTTGTGTGGCATGCTTTGGACAGTGGTTTACATCCTGTCGATGTGGATGGAAACTTGGAGACATGCAGAATTTAACGTTTTCACCCTCTCCGAAGTGCCCCCAGTACGCTTTGAAATAAGAATTTAAAATGTTTAACTTTATTCCAGTTTTATTTACTACAATTGATTTTTTTCTGGAACAAAAGTAATTTATGCCAAGGAGTTATGCTCTAAGTATAAAACACATCGAACATTTGCAGTTGTAAAAAAATTTAATTAGAGCTGCAAGTTTATTACTAGAAAGGATTTTTTGATTTTTTTACAAAAAAGTGGCAGCAACTAAAATTTCTGTTTCTCAATATGGGGCCTTTCTCTTTATCTTATTACAAAGCAGCACAATAAAAATTAAACTGTAATCAGTTTTCCTTTTTATGCTACAAGCAGTCAGGAAATTCACTATTCAAAAAACCAGGAAGGATGTTTTACCTAAGCATCCATATGCAATCACTTGAAATAAAAAAATCTAAGGGGCACAGGTTAAATTTAAAATGCCAGCTGAACAGAAAGGGGAAGATAGTATGAGACAGGGAAAGTGGAACCCAAAATAGTTGGGGAGAAGACTTGAAAACATCATGGCAACATTATTACTGATTAGCCTGCAATAATTATATATATTAATGGGGGAACAGTGTGATATTTCAACAGATGCATACAGTGTGTATTGATCAAATCATAGTGATATTAGTGGGAAATTATGAAAAAAACCAAAACAAAACAGGATCAGTTCCAACTAGGAACAGTGGAGAAAATGTCACAGTGTCACAAATGTTGGAGGCTATTCCTCATTAGCAGACTAAATACTTTCCAAACATTGAGTTTTCCTAATTTTATTTCTGCCAAATTACCTTTGTAAAATATTTGCACAAATTGTGTGCTAACAAACATGACAGGCTACAAAAGAATGTCATCTGGGGTTCTTCTCTATGGAAAAAAGTGGAAACCATTTCCCATCTATTGTTAGTTTTCAGCTGTGATGAGTAATTTTGACTGAAAAATCAACAGGACCAGGAGAGAGGTTGTTTTGCACTGCAGCCAGGAAAGGACGTTGTGGGGAGGCCTTCCAGTGAATGCTTAACTAGTACTCAGCAGAGGAAAGCAAGCTGGCTGGGGAAGTCCACATCCAAGTCAAATCAACAGCAGCACCCTGAATCGTAATGATCAGTGAAGCGTTGTCAATGCCAAAATGAATTCCTAATGAGTGGAAAAACCACAAACTGTTCGAATAACCTGCCTCAACAAGAAACCAGCAGGAAAGAGAAACATTTAGTTTAGGTTTATAATAACTGACTTGGATAAGTAGCTCCAACTGGGTGAGAAATAAAGATGAAGACTTTTGTTAGCATAAATACAAAATTTGAAATGAATGGATGATGTAAACAGGTTTGTAAAAAAATTTGATACTCACAGAGATAATCTTAGGCTTGAAAGCAAGTTAATAAAGTTCTCCAAATCATTTACTAAAAAAGGGGTGAGTGGTAACTCAATCACCTCTAATATTTTTTAGAAGCAGCATTAAAGGTCAGCTTGTGGATTTATGTGTAACTAGAAATATAGAACAAAATTGGGCACAGATCATCTAAGCCAACCATCTTAGAAATGAAGAAACTGAAATTTACATATGTTAAGTTTATTTGTTCATCAGAAGTTTTGGGTAATGAAGCATTTAAAAGTTGATAAATAGAAGTAACAACTGTTAATTTCTGGGACAAGAGACTTGTAAGTAGTTAGTCTTGTCTTAGTTTCATTTTGTGTTCTGTCATTCCCTTCTCTGTGTTCCTTCCCCCAGGCACTGCTTTTTTCCCCTGGCATCCCTGCCATCCTGGGTCCTTTTCATATTCCCAGCTCACTTCATGGTAGTCCCAAACTAGGATTAGAAACCTAAGGACTGACCACTTACAGAAGTATCTTAAGAAGTGATCTTAAGAAGCAGGCATCTTTCTAATATTTCCCAACACTCATAAGCCTGAAATTCCCCAAATGTGACTGACAGTGAGTTTAGAAAAGGGATGCTAGTGAAGGTTATATTAGGCTTTATAAACAGGCATGATAGTGTTTTTATTTTTTTGTTTGTTTTCAATAACCAGCATGGCAGTCCTCTCACCAGTCATCATTCGACTTCATTTGCAGCACTGAGTCCTGTCCTAAAGTACTGCTAGCTGACTAGCTGCTGGACCAGCAGGAGGTTGGGGGCCCTCAGGAGAAGGGCAAGAGGGGGTAGGAGGCACCTACATCAGAGAATTGATTATTTACATACAAGTGTCAGTAATTTTACAATCTCTTCATTCTGTTGAATATTCACTCATTTATCTCCAGCACCACTGCATACACCTTTCCCTCTTTACATCATCCATCAAATTCCATGGAGGCCTTCTTACCGTAGCCCAGGCTTCTTCTTCATACTTCTTCATAAGTGGTGACTTTCTGAATGAACACTTGTCACCATGTCACCTGATTCCTTCTTCTCCCTGTCTGACATGAAGGTCCAATTGGAAGCTATTTGGTTTGGTCTTCCCACGTTCAGCATTAAATTTTTTTTCTGTTTGTTCACTTTTAAAAAAAAACAAGCTAAAGCTATTTCTATATTTTAAAGATCTTTCTGATCAAGATGCCCAGAGCATTCTTTTCATTCTCTTTCTTTAACTTAACATCCATTTCCTTATTTATAAAGTGGAAAGCAGAATTGCTATTTACGAATGAAGGCTGCCATACGCACAGAATAAGGTGAGGCCTTTAAAGCACTGAGGAGACTGAAAAATGATGATAGGTGCCAGGGTTTGGGGCATGCTTTAGTTTACAAATTAGCACCAGGGTAAACATATTTTATTTCTCAGTATTTTTATCGCAAAGTAGTTCAACTATCCAAAATATAACAAATAATATCAAGCTTGATGATATATAGTCATTTTCTCTCATTTCTTTTATGATTTAGAGGTTTTGTGTTCTTTAATTTATTTAATTATTTATTGGTGGTACTGGAAATTGAACTCAGGGCTCACGCTTGCTAAGCAAGTGCTCTACCACTTGAACCATGGCCCCAGTCCTTTTGCTTTTAGTATGTTTTTGAGATAGGGTCTTGCCCTTTTGCCTGAGTGAGCCTTGGACTGTGGGCCTTCTGCCTCCACTTCTGAATAGCTGGGACTCCAACGGATGTGTACCACCACACTGTCATGCTTTCGAGATGGGACCTGACTAACTTTTGCCCAGGATGGCTTCAATCCTTGATTCTCCTGTCTCTACCTCCTTAGTGTTTTTAAGTGGTAAAAGTGGTAGATATTATCAAAGTCTCTTGTGAACTATAACTCTCCTTTTTAACAACTGAATTTCTTTTATGAACCCCTATTCCTTCAGGTGGCAGAAGCTTTATCTCAGTGAATTCCTAGTTTCTTCCATATTCTCAGGCTTCTATCTAATTCTGGGAGCTTACAAATTGCCAAGGAATCTCAAAGTGGGCCTGTGGAGGAGAATTTCTTCCTTCTTGTGGCATCTTGGTATCGGCTCATTACCCTGTCTGTTGTCAGGCATCAATCTAGCAGGAGACTGCTGCACCGTCCTTCATGGTCCTTCTATGTGTACCTTAGGGCCTCTATAGTTCAGATCTTCAGTGTTCTCCAAAGGCCCATGTGTTAAAGGCTTAGTTCCCAGAGTGCTATTGGGAGATAGTGGAAATCTTATGAGGTGGGGCCTACTAGAGCGTCTTTAGGTCATTGGTGGCAAGTCCTCAAAGGGGTTGGTGGGACTGAAGTCTGCTCTTCTTCCTCTCTTTTGCTGTTGGGCCATGAGGTGAGCAATTTTGCTTTCCTAAGTACTCCCACCATGATGTGCTGTCTTCTTACAGGCCCAAATCAATGAGACCAACCAATCTTGAATAGAACCTTTGAAATCACGAGTCAAAAAAATACATTTTATCAATATAAGTTGATTGTCTCAGGTATTTGTTACAGTGATGAAAAGCTGACCAGCACAGGACCAGTGACCTTTCTTGGTGCTCCTATCCCTTTCTTGGGTCTGTGGAAATCTGATAAATCTGGGAGGCAGACCTGATGTAGCATTATACAGCTCTGGTGGTGAGTGTGATGTAGAGAGCAGAGTCTTTCCCTAAGACCTCCACAGTACAGAGAAACTTCATGGCATTACTATCTGCATGAGTCCCATCCAGAAGTAGGAGGCTCTAGTGCTTTTGCCTCTGAGCTGCCTAAATTATCTGGGCCCATGGTTAGCTTATAAACCCACAACTCTCAAATATTACTTTGCTTCTTTTCCTAATTTTGTTTCCTTTCAGCATGCAAATTTGCTTTTGTGTCATCCAACTATATTATACCTTGAATGCCCCAGAACCAACTTTTGTAATGAAGAGCCTTATCTCTGCTTTTCTGCTATAACAGTCCTGCCCTTATGCAGGAGAAA